TCAATTCATTTATTTCTTTCGTCAAATTTTCAGATCTCCAGGCGAGCTTTATCCGAGAACAAAAAACGTAGAAGCGATCTGGGAAAAACCAGATCGCCATTGCAGAACACAGGTACAGTTGACACGACTTATGGACAATTTCAAGCACATTTGAAAGAGAGAGAAGAATTGCGTAGCTCCTTGTTAACCGACCAATCGCTAAGCGCCAAGTGTATTTTAAAGACCCCGAATCGTACACAAATTAAGCCCGTAAGAAGGAATTTATATAACGTAAATGCATCATCCACTGCAACATCCAAATTATTACAATCGACTCGAAATTCTCCACGTAGTCCTAGGGTGGTTCATACTTCGAAACTTGCAACTGCGCCGAATGTGCTTCCTATTATTTTTTGATAGATTATTTTTTTAGTTTAGATGTCCTTTCTAATTATTTGGCTACTCGTCGATGTTTTTATATATTATTTCCAAAAAGTTTTATAGAGTAATATGTATTATGCTGTACATATATGGAGGGATAGAGATGGAAAGAATTCAAAGTTGAGAGAGAAATGTTACTTTCGATTATTAAAGAGATTTAATGTATATTAAGTAGGTGGTTAGTTTTGCATTGGAAATTTTTATATAAATATTATAGTCTTTATGCGTCCCAGTTATTTGACATGTATATATTTATTTTATAAAACATTTTTTCGAAACATAACGATGTCCGGCGATTTTAACTATTGTGATAATATGTATGATGTAACATTTTTTATATACATAAAATAACTTTTAATATATAATTATATGTTATAACACATCTAATGTTCGTATACAAATCAAGTTTCGGCGTTGTCATATGTTTGATATTTTGTCGATAAACTGTATAACAAATATTTCAAAATAGTAAATATTAATAGATACTAGACCAGACTTGTCGCATCTTATGCAATACATGGACCTAAGGCTATGTGCTACGTGCCTTATCTGAGTTTGATTAAAAATTTATAGATAATCAAACAGCTCTATAGAATCATCTACTATCATATATCCCAGCAGATATAAGCCTAGGAGAAGTTGTGGAAAACGAATATCAGCTGTTATTTTAATAAATAGCGGTTTATTATGTAGGGCTTTATTTGCATAACTCTTGGAAAGAAA